GTGTGTGTGTGAGAAAGAGAGTGATAGCGAGAGAGAGAGTGAAACAGAGGATGGTGTCCATATTATTTATTTATTTCAGGCTTAAAATGTAGATTTAAAATTAATTGTTAACATAAAAAAATATTTTAGCTATAATATTTAATTTTCTGCTTTTTGTTTTTTGTTTCTAATTGTTCAGTTACTGTCGTTTATATTTAAATATTACTATAAGCACTTTTAAAAATTCCACATTTTGTTTAATAAAAAGTAATATTGGACCAAAATGAAGACGGTACGAATGCCTAAAAGAAATGCCGAAAACAAACCAAAAAAAAGGGCTAAAGGCTAATTTGTCTTTCTTTGGATTTACAGTAATCTAAGGTCCTGTAGTAATTTCCTGGAGTTAGTGCCTTTTTGAGAGATGAATCTAAGCTGCACTGGCAGTGAATGGTAATGCAGTTATCCCGTCTAAATTCAGCTACAGTATTCTGAGCTATGATCACTCTAACATATGCTACATCAGCCTTAATGATACACTTAAGTAACTGCTTGGCAGGTTTATGACCTGAGCGATACATGAACACCTTGCCGAGTGTGTGTGCACATGTGTGCATATGTGTGTTTTGTGAATACATTTTAACAATGCTGCATGCACAGACATGTGTAACTATAATTATCTGTTTTTCGCTTTCATTTGCAGAGTCATTACTTGGGGGTGACTTTATTTTTCCGTGCCAGACATTGATATCAAGGTTAGTCTAACATTTTTATTAATTTTCTTTAAAATTATATTCTTGTTATTGAATCCGTGTATGTTTTTGTAGCACTTTTGGTGCATATAGCAGCATCTATTTTGTGTGTGTTAATGCCCGGACAGTCAAAAATCATTCGGGACTGCTTTGCGTGGTTCAAGCACACAGCTCAGCGACCGTTTGTTGTTAGTTTATCAAACACAACCGTCTCCAGCACACACCAGCGGCCGTAGCATCGTGTGATGCGTTTTGTCAAAACTCGTATCGGTGCGTTGTGTCTGTCGTGTCATCTGAAACGGTAAGTCTGTGCTGCAGCTCAAAGATAATCTCCTCAAAGGAAATTAGTCAGGAAAAATGGGACAGAAGAGCCGTCAGCCTAAAGGTCAAATGAAGATTAGAGAGAAACCGTACACGAGGGCACACCGGCTGGCACCCCGGAATTACACAAAGGCCTCATTGTCACAGGAGCCCTCGGGTCTGCGCACTCTCTCCCAGCATACTTAGGGAGACATGACACCTGTTGGTGGTTTTGATCAACTGCATGCAGAGCGACAGGACACCTCACACTTAAGATTTTTCTGATATTAAAAGACGACTTTGAGTCGCATACGCGTCTAGAACATTTTCGGATCGGCGCTCTTCTGCACAAACACACTCACGGGTTCGGTTCAGGCTCGAGTTTTTATCTCACGTCAGTTTCAGGCTTTCCGGCGGCACGGCTGACCGCGTGCCGTTAAATCAAAACGACAAATGAAAAAACAGCAAGCAGTGAAAAAAGCATGTACTCTTGATTTATATTTGCTGATTATTGTAACCCTCCAGACACAGCGGCTCCACTCACTTCAAAGGGTGAATTGGTTAATCTCAAATAATTGTGAAGCTCAGTCCTGACAGTTTTACAGTTTATGGCACTGTGCATTCAAAATGTTGGATGAATGTATTTTTGGAAAGTTGTTTGCAAGTTCATGCCTAGATCGAGGATCTCACTTGCGCCTCTCTTTAGTAGTTTTAATGTTTTTTTTGACAAACTGTAAAACAGTTGTGTTATCAAAAACGTTTTAATCACATTTAACAAACAATTATATTTTAACTACACGCATTAACTAAAGAAAAGTGTTAATGTAATGCTTTAGGGCAACGTTAAAAGGTTTTTTGACCCAAAATTACAAAAGAAATGAACATTTTTGACTGGCCTTGTGTTTTTAGGGTTAACGTTTTTGTGCTTTGCTTTCTGTCTCCACCCACTTCCAGTAGAGATTAATGAAATTCTGCTTGTTTATAGTATTTAATAACCTTTAATAAAAGCAGTCCTATGTATTCCAAAAAAAGTCATCCTTTTCACTCTGGATAATTTAATCTTTTTTTTTTTTACATAACATTTCTGAGTAAAATCAAAAGACATTTAACTGTGGTTAGAAATCTCAGTGACACATGCATAAAAACGTTGGTTCAGCAGAAGCAAACTGGAAAATGCATTTGTCATAATTTACCTGGAATGACCCTTTAAGTAAAAGGGCCTCTCCTGTGTAAACCCGATACCCTGCATACACGCATTAGCAGTGCAAGTGAAGCAGCGAGCTGCACACACAGTCAGGCCTGCTTATACCTCACACGGTTGGACAGTAAGTAGCTCATATAGAGATTTGTGTGGCATTTATGGGATAAACGACCTGCAATAAAACAGCCACAAACTGGTGCGTGCGCGTGAAGAGTTAAGGCAGTGACTCACTTTTATAAGTTTGACCCCCACCTCGCGCCCTCACGCCTCTCCCCTCCCCTCCGTCGCTCCCCAACTCGAGGGGGAAACCGCAGCAGAGCCGCAGCCTCTCCTGTCTCACTCAGGAAACTCCCTGAAACAACCACAACCTCGTCTGCTCGACCTTTTCAGGCCAACACACACTCTGACATACAAATCTGCTCATTTGCACCAAGGTTTCCTGCGACACACACAGAAGCACAACACACGACTTTAGAGTTTTGGAGTCACTTTTAATGGTGTGACTGTGTGTGTGTTCCTCTAATAAACTGCCAGGTAGCAATACAGAGCGATGCAACAGGATAGTCATGAATAATACACCCACAGGATACTTGCACTCTCTACACATTCACATGCAGACATGCAAGCACCTGCAGTCGTGTGTTTGCACACCGGCACTGAAGGAGGCCCACGTACCGCTCTCTGTATCCATCGTGTATGACATGTGTGAGCACGCTGATATAGGTGCTCTGTTGTTTTCTGATGCTCCTGTGTCAGACAAGAAGTGAAAGTCTGACCTTTGAACAGAGAAGCGCAGCTCACTCTCTCCTCTCGTTTGTCAGCATCGAGACGAGGAAACCTGAGAGGAGGCGAGTTGACAGACCGCACAGACCTGCTCAGGGAAGATGACCTGCCAAGCTCAAGTGACATGCAGAGGAAGTGTTTTGAGTGTATTTTGTTTTGTTTTTTAATTACCACACATTTCACATATTAAGCCTCTCCTTTAAATGTATAAAAAAAAAATAATAATAAGGAACCTCATGATCAGCTGGGGCCTTTCTGCATGGATGTCCTCCATGGGCCTGTGTGGGTTTTTCTGGGTACTTTCCTCCCACAGTGCATCTTAGGTTGGGTAAATAGTGATTAGAAATGTGTCTGTGGGTGTGGATGTGATTGTGAGATGTTGTGTGTCTGCGTGTGTTAAACCTCTGATAGATTGGCAGCTGGGTCAGGATTTAACAAGTTTAGAAAAAAAACAAAAACGGATTGAATACAACAGAAATAAAAATGTTTAATTTCTTAAAATGTAAAACAAGCACTTTTTTGGACATGCAGTGTTTTATCTGTGTATTAAGTAAGTTTAAGTGCTGCTTCATGATGATGTTTTGCTAAGACTACAGAACTGGCTTTATTTAAAATTACAAACATTTAATTACGTTACCGTTTTCACGTGACATTGAATATAGCTGCCTGCCAGTACAATACACTAACAGTACAAGCACATAGAAGTTCAGCTTTGACCTTTGGAACGATGACAAAATCAACTTTATGAAGATCCACCTGTTTTTTCTGCCTTTAATTGGATGCTATGGTTTTCATCGGCACATTTGTGATGCTGTTGTTTTATTACATTGAATTGTGGTTGAATTTTACACACTTAACTCCACCCATTACAGCTTATCTGTAGTTAGTTTTTTTTAAGTCTTGTCCTAATTTTACAAAGGTCAGTTGTCGTTGAGTTTCTGTTCCCACAGGTCGACTGGGTGCGACTGGAGAGCCGTGCGAGAGTTAAACTGTCCTTTGGGGTGAGGTAGTAGGTTGTATAGTTTTAGGGTCATTCCCAAGCTGTCAGATGACTATACAACTTACTGTCTTTCCTGAAGCGGCTGTAATAACATCATCTTCATCATCGTACCCACAAGAGGATAAGAAGCATGACTTTTGAATTTGGACTCGTTTGTTTGTTTAACCTAAAATAATGTGCAGATTTTTGTGGGAAATTGTTCTCTTCTTATTGATGCTTGTTGTCGTTTTTTTTTTTTTAATTATTTTTTTAAAAAAAGGTAAGTTCTGCTAGTCTGAAGTTGTAACCAGTGAAGCTTGTTCTCACAGCGTGTAGTAAATTTAGTGAAGTAATGTGAAATCTAGCCACTTTTACTTTTGCAGCTTTTTCATGTAACTTTTCCTGCAAGTGCATCCTTTTATGTGCAGCGTGTAACATTTCAACTGACATTATCATGGCAATCCTCATTGCAATAATAAATAACAAAGTTGCTTTCAGTTTCATTTATGCAGCGATGCGACTCGCGCACAAATCCTCTCCTTACCCACCTGGGTGCTTTATGATGTTCGTACAGGGTGAGGTAGTAGGTTGTGTGGTTTCAGGGTTGTGATTTTACCCCATCAGGAGCTAACTATACAACCTACTGCCTTCCCTGGAGGGCAGCAATACATCACAGGAGCGCGCGCATCTTTGTCATTTTCCCTGCCTCTGAAAAATGGGACAGTCTCTTTTACAAAGGCCCACAAAAGACTGGCATTCGATCTCAAGGGTTCACGTGTATGGGTGAGTGGCGCTCACTCACACCACGCATTTCAGAGAGACAATCACTTTACACATTTGTAACTCGCACTGGGAAGATGGCATAAAAAAGGCATTTATTTAATTTTATTAGCATTCATGTTTTAATACTGCTTGTACTTTTCCCTCAGTAATTAAATAAAGACTGGACAAGAAATAATTGCTGAGCAAATAATGGCTGAAGTCTGATCTTTGTGCTGATAACAACTGTGCAACAGTAGAGTCTCCCTAGAAGGGATATTTTCTTCGAAATGCTGCTTTAGTCTCTAATCCCTTTAAGAAGCTCATAATGCCCTGAAATTCTAATCCCCAAAGCCTCTGTGTCTCAGGAACATGTATCTTTTTATCTGTCTAGAAAAGTCTCCTAAAAAGCATGCATCATTTCTCTTTTGTTCTTTAAAACAAAAATCAATTGCATGGGATTTCTTCCAATTAAGGTGTTAATACTGTGCAAGATTAAAGGCAAGTAAAACTCCAGAAAACAATTGAAGGTAGAGCAAACAGCCAAGAGTCATGCTGTTTTATGAAACCACACGTAGGAGTGCAGCTTTTGCTTTGAGTTTTCAAGCGACATCCCTGACCAAAGCTGATTATGTAGCTCGCTGCTTAAAAACCATTTCGAATTCAGAAAAAACGAGCTTGTGCTTCCATCCCAGATGGAACGGGAGACCAGGTGCCGAGGTAAAACCAAAGAAAATCATAAATTATCACCCTGCCATTTGTTTGTGGGAGAACACGCTGAGCCACCATGAGGGGTTTTTATCGTCTACACTTACTGTGCAGGTCCACAGGAAAATATGACAGCCAAAATATCCTATTGTCATGTGTCATTTCACAGTAGATGGCGCCAGATATTAAATGCGGTGGTGTTGCTTTGCTGGAGACAATCACAGTCTACACTAATTTGTTAGATGTACTTTAAGACAGGCTATAAATTTCTAAGGAGTTGGTACAGAATGAGGGTGTCCTGCTGACCTACATGTAGGAGGTCCAGGCAGGAAAGGAGGGCTGCTTTCTGCCAACTAAAGTAACCTTACAGCAGCACTGACACAACATCGTGCTTATGGTTGAAATAAAGTTAATTTTGCCACAGGTCAAGTATGTGTTCCATAGTCACAGTTAAATATCAAAAATCTTCCAAGTGTACACCATCAAATAAAAAACACCAGCTGGTAGCCACAGTATGAAGTGCCATTAGCACTAAATTGTGAAGGGAGGGTTTTTGGAGCAACCGTTTTAAAAGCAAGTACACACGCCTACCTTATTCATGCTATTAAATGTGTTTTAAAGAAGATGGGGATTTTTTTAAGGTGTAAATAAAAGGCAAACACCTGAAAGATTGCCATGATTTGTATCCCAGTGTGTGGCTTAGTAGGTAGAATGCCATTCAAACACTCAGTTGTTATTTGGATCGCAACTGCAAATTAGGCTGACACTAAAATGACCTTCACTTTCTTACTGCTTAACTGTGAGCAGCATAACACCAAGAGACAGACTTATTTGTCATTTCCCAGCAATACTTGGACACAGCACAAATCTCTGATTGTGACCTGAAATGTGTGGCTTCACACAAATGCTACAATAGAGCAAGTTTTACACTAATGAACAAAAAGCTGTGAAAGAGAAGGTTTGGAATTAGAAGCAAAAGTTCATTCAGCAGTTTGATTGTTTTAAATTGGTGATGGGTGGGGTGAACCTTTAGACAAATTACCAAAAAAAGCAATGAGTCATCAATTTGCATATATGTGTTGTGCAGTTTATTTTGTTTTCTTTTTTAACATATGCTTCAGTGACGGGGGTCACAATGATAACGTAGGGGTCTGAAAAAGTCATGTATCAAATATTATATACTTGGCCTTAAAGGGTTTGTAAGGTTAAGTCATGGGTGTCAAAAATAATTTTACACTGTAGGCCACATATATCCCACTTTAGGGGGTAAGTGGGTCAGACCAGTGGAACTCCATGCCAGTGTAAAGAAGTTAAACCATGAACTAGATGCCACACATTTCAACAGTACATCTCAATTTTTCTACACAATAAAGAAATGCTGCTGAAAATGGAAGAAATCAGCACGTCAGCACGACTCTGTAAGAAACAGACTGGTAAAATTACAGTTGAAAATGGCTCGTTGCACACACTGTACGATAGTAATAATACTTCAATATATATATATATATATATATATATATATGCAGTGGATCCCCTATAAAAAAAAATCTTCCTATTATGGATAATAAACAAAACAGGAACCTTTCTGTCATTTGTTCATTAAAAATAGAAAACCTAGAAAAACACTGTTAGAAGTCCCTTCACATTTTTCACTGCTGTCCAGTGGGCCAGGTTGGAGTTTTTGACGGGCCGAGTTTGGCCCCGGAACCTCATGTTTGACACACTCACTGATACAGTAATTAGCCTGCAAATATAAACATTTACTGACTAAATTACAACCATCTTGAGTATTTTGTAAGCTCCTTAAAGATGAAAAGTGACCACTGTTAACTGCAGTAAAATACGTCATAATAGTGTCACAAAAATATCCATTTGATACTTGCGGGATATTTGAAAAGCACACGCTGCTTACAGCGAGATTATCGCCAGACTGCCTGCCAGCGGGGTCACTGGGAAAGCTGTCGTTTTATTGAGCATTCACGTAATTATTACTCGATAGTATGACGCTGCTGACGTTTTAATTACAGGAAGTGATTTTGGAGGCGATCGGATGGCATTAATCTTACAGGCCCAGCCAGAGAGATCCAGTCGCCCTTCACCGGGTACAGATAAAGGAGACAATGCGCCTCCGCACCGCCCATCCTGTACCGAGCCACCAAGAAGGGATCGTGTCTTACCGAACACCCCCCCCCCCCTCCCTCCCCAGCCGCACACAATTCTGGTGTTCCGATTGGTTGAAACCATAGGTGTGTCAGGAGGTGTGTGCGCCATGTTGCGGTCCCTCTCTACGTTATTTCCTGCTGAGGATGACGTTTTTGACAGCAGGGAGGGAGGCAGCAGAGCCGATCAGCAGGCGCATCCGTGAGCGTCCCGGGCCCGAAGCAGCTCTCTCCTCCTCCTCCTCCGCTGATAAAGCACAGGCGTCCATTCCGACAGCGAGAGCTTGAAATGCTCCGGATAGCAGACTCCGAGCTGAGGTATTTACCAACATTTATTTCTATAATGTTATGTAACTGTGCAAGAAGCTCTCTGCGCAGTTGCCTGTTGATTCAACAAACTTTGTTATTCAATCGCGCAGAAAGTATAAGTGAAGTGGACACTGTGGCTAACTTTGTATCTCTTAAAACACACACACACACACACACACACAAACACACTTGTCCTTAGTGAGCTGTATTGCGAGTGAGCTCTAGATAAACTTCCTTTAAGTCATGTCTTCATCTGTTGTGACTAAACCGCAGACGCACACTGGAAGGCACGCTTCCCCCTGCAGCCCCAGATATGCTTCTATGTCACACTCTGTGCAGCAATGCAAAGAGATACTTTGATGATGCAAGACTGATGTGGCTTTTACATTTACTCTGTGCCTGATTTTTAAACCTATTTTTTCAATCTGTGTTTTTGAAACAAACAGCTGATCCAGATTCAGCACTGACAAATGTGAGCTGTTGCTTTTTTTTTTTTTTAATTAACAAAGGCTAAGAAAGGATGTGCAACTTTCCAGGTGACTAGAAATATGATGCTTTGTGTTTTGATTTTGGCTCCTTTGTATCATCTAACGTGCTCTCTCCTGAGTCCAGCCGACGTCTTTGGCTGCAGCTCCTGTTTCCTCTCCTCCTTTAACCTAAAGATAGAGCCCTAAGGTCTGGGATCAAAGTTCCTCTGGGAGTTAAAACACAATGTCCTCTGAGGTAGAGGGGAAGCGTGGGCTGGACTCAAACGGAAATATAGTCAATTAACTTTGCTGTCACCTTGTTAGGGCTTTAATACATGAATGAGACAGGCCACAGTTACAGGCATGCTGGGACCATTAAATACTGTGACATCCAACTAATCCATAACAAATGATAATAAAGTAGAGACAGCGTTAAGCTGTATTTAATGTAAACCCAAGAAAAGCGCCAGGAAGCTCTCACATTTTAGAAACTACAGCCTTAAAGTTTCACCTTTCTCCAAACTCCAAGAGTTCACCGACAAATCGCCATACCCTCCGCAACATCCCTTCGATTTAACAGTTCATTAAGCGGCGTCTAGTATGCCTTTTTAATTTATCTCTTATCCACTGTTACAGTGGTGGA